TAAGCGTACATAGAGTGGAAAGAAGTTGAAGCAAGTGAATCAGATCAAGACTAACTAGGTTATTCTATGCTCTCTAATAAGGTAACAACTTAAAGAGCAGTCGGACACTCATTTTATGTGTATAATTTGTTCATAACAGCGCGGCCACAATTCACCAGCCAATTTCAAGCAAACAATATAGTGCTATAGGGAAAAGATCTGCATATCAGTTGTTCTGCAATTGGAAATACAACTCCAAACATCACTTGGGTATTACTGAAAGGCCAAGCCAAGGAAATAAAAAGCCATGGAGTAGGTTTCGCTGACCTCGTTATCCAGAACATCACAAGGCATCAAAATGGGACGTACCAGTGCCAGGCAACCAATAATCCTAATGAGTATCCCGTGGAAACTCAAACACAAGTCACTGTACGGTGTAAGTATTCAAAGTATTTAATTGTCGAATAATAAAATATTTGTTTCAATCCTGCCAATGTTATCATGATTGATTCCAATTCCTGCACCTGAGCTATGAAACGAATAGCTTTTCAAAAATTATGTTTYATATTTTTATGTCTTATTTCATTTTATCTTAATTTTTTCACTTGCTATGTCCTTTGTCGTAGACATACCTAATATAACGTTCCTAAACTGGACTGTCGACGAAAAGACCATCCTACTTTGCCAAGCAAGTGGACACCCACGCCCCTTATTCAAGTGGTATCATGCTGATGGAACGCAAGTTGAATCTGGTGTCACAGAAATAACAGGCGTCAGCGCAATGGTTCTCAAAATACCAGACAGCAACTCTGGTTTATATGGAATGTACGAGTGTAACGCAACAAATGAAGTGGGCTGGAAAGTGGGTTACCTCAACATTACTGAAATAAGTACGTAAGGGAACTTTGATTCATCTACGGTATAGGTAGCAAGCATAGATATATCTACATCATCTTTATTATAAAACAAATAGATTTAGTAATGTCTGTGTATTTACTATTTTAATTTTGCAATCATGTGTCATTCACTAAGGAATTACCCCTTTCTTCGAGACATAAAACTCAAACTCTTATTTGCTATTCCAGACCTTCCAGCAACAAAAATACGCACAGAAAGAGCACTTACGGTAGCCTCGAAACCTGATAAGAAAACAAAAGGTAGCTTTTGAGCAGCAGTTAGGGGGACTCGCGAAAGGGGTTTCGTATGGTCTGGGTATTACCCCCGCCAAGTACCACCGGTCCCACGCGGGTATTCCCCGCATTGCCCCTAACTGCTGCTGTGTTTGTAAGATCTATGACATATATATGCACGAATGTAAAGAATTTGCTAATGATTTTTGTAAAGACAATCGGGGTCGTGCTTAATATTCTTTTTTTAAAATGACAGCAACCAAGGGATTTAGTAAAAGGTAGTAAAGTTAATAAAAAAATAAAGCT